TAAGTTTTGAATAAAATGAGCTAAACTGAACTTAACTGGACAAATTAAGGAGAAAGAAAAAAGGCACCCACTGAATAGTTTACGTCTATCAAGAAGTTACTGCTATGGTGCACTTGACATTCCAGTGGTAAAAATAAAAATAGAAAACAAAAATAACCAAAAATTTTATTGTTCTAAAAAGTGCATATTCACCCATGTTTCACATCTTTCTTTTTTCTTCTTTTTTTTTTTTTTTAGAGCAGAATCAATTACATAAATGTATATGTAGGCCACTTGGTCGGGCACACTGATACATGATCTGCATGCTTTTTATGAAACCTAAAGCACATGTCCTCTTTTGTAAATTGGAATCCCAAAGAAATGATTTTTCGATGAAATACAGTAATCCTTTTGCCATTTAGAATTCTATGCAATTCGAAATTAACGATAGCGCTAGGCATAGCGTCACCATTTGCTCCCGGGTATTTGTTCCAATACTCCGATCAAAAGTATCACTTCCCTATCATAGGTATTGTATTTTATTCCTAAATGACGTGCACATGTCTGCTTTTAATGGCAATCCAACCCTTGTCATAAGTTTATTTGTGTGAAACCAGAAAAATTAGAGAAACAGAATTGCGAAAGTTTGAAATAAATCGGACCAATAATAATGATAATAATAGCTCACATTTATAATGCGCCTAATACTTTGTTTCTAGGCGCAGTACATGTTATTACCAATTTACCAATAAAAAGAGAGCTATGAATTTTAAAAATAAGAGATTGATACAATCTAGTATGCGAATCTCAAATCGGCAATTTGGTCGGTAGATTATGATGTAGTCACGCACAACCATCCCGTTTGTCGTACAAAAATATCGTTATTTTCTGTTTTTCTCCTGAGGGCCTTCTTCCTTGGGGCACTCCTCAAAATTAATAGCATATTATTATAGGTCTTCTAAAAAGCAAAGACCATTCCGAGTAATATACATGTAGTTTTTAAGATACAATTGTATCACTTTGTGTGTTGAAACAAACATGAGAAATGGGGAACATATCCAGCTCAACGTTAGAATAACAGTGCTGATTTAGACAATTTAAAGTGCCCTTAGGTATAATAATGCTTACGACTTTTAATCAAAATAATCACTTTCTTATTCTTTGCCTGATTGCATTTATACCTTCACCAGTTCCCTTCTCTGATTTTTTATTTCGATTTTTGTTTTCTTAGTTGACTATCAAGGTTGAATTTTCCTTCATTTTTCATAAATTCTGACACTAACTTATATGCAGTACATCAACATCGATGGGTGGATGCTGTATATATGCTGCAGAGGACTATCATGTGGAGATTGAGGTACAGTGATCAATCGGCACACTATGACCATCCCTATGTCATTTAACACATCGCTCAGTGGTCCACAGAGATTGTGTACTCGATGACTTCATATCATCACGGCTATGATTGTGGCCATACAGGACATGAATTTTTCAGTACGATTTCGGCTTAGAAAAGAGCCCCCTGTGAGCTGTTGAATTTATTTTGCATTAAAGGGTGGACAGGAATGATGAGAATAGTGGGATTGGTAAGGGGCAAATGCAATGTTGAGACAGATAGAGTGATGATGACAGGAAGAGAGCTGGAGAGAGAGAGAGAGAGAGAGAGAGAGAGAGCGAGAGAGACAGACAGACAGACAGAGACAGACAGACAGATAGAGAGAGAGAGAGAGAGAGAGAGAGAGAGAGAGAGCGAGAGAGAGAGAGAGAGAGACATAATTGAGACAGAGACAGAGAGGAGAGGGAAGAGGAAGGGGGATTCGAACAGGCAGTAGAAGACAAAACTGAGACAGGGGAGGGTGAGAAAAAGAGAATGTGTGAACAATTTTGAAGTTTATCACTTTCCTCTGCGATATCATAAGGAGGATCCGATTTATCTTGTCATAATTTAGCGAATAAACGTTACAGAATCTATGCTATTATGTTTTCCCCTATATAAAATATTGTCTTTCTTTATTCATGTCTTCTTTGTTTCCATGGTTATTTTCTTTCCAATCTTTTTTTCTTTTTCTTCTCCTTTCTTCTTCTTCACCATCATTAATTTTTCTATCTTTCCTTGCCCTTCTTCGTCGTCTCCTTCTCATTTGACGATAACAAAAGTGGTCTCCTCATCATACAGGACCAGGATGTGAAACAGATTTTGTATCTTCAATGTCTATCTGATTCTTGTTATCCTGGTTAAATATATTTCAATAAAAAAATATAAAAAATGTTCTTCTTATCCTTCTTCCCCTTCTTATTTATCTGTCCCTTCTTCGTTCATCATGATCTTCCAATTTTTTCTTCATCTCCAGCCTCCATCTCATTCCATTTCAAATTTTTCTCATAATTTTCATTGTCTCTCCTCCGATCTATACCCGATCTGCATGTTCCTGCTTGGCTCACCTCCTGCCTGCATCATAGGGTGGGTGACCTCCAAGCTGTTGATGCCACGAAACCAAAGACGACCGTTCTAACCAGAACAGTACTACTCATGCAAACCAATTACCACACTCGCATCAAAGTCCTCTTTCTCTTGATTATTTCAAGTATACGTATCCCTTTAAAGGATATTATTTTCATTCTTGAGAACTTTCCCTCTCCTACGTCACAGTATAATCCAATCTATCAATTTCAAGATTTTTCCTCGGTTACCCTCAAACGAGTGCGAGGCTGGCTAACAACCGTTCCCCTCATCCCACCCAGTCGTGATCAATGATTCCGGCTAAGTTAGAAACGTTTTTACCGCACACCCTACTCTCTTGGTTTTTTGTCAATGATCCAATTGTCTTTCCCCTGGTGTATGCCCTTTTTTCATTTGCATATTATTTGATAAAATTTGTCTTGGCTCTCGTGTAATATTGTAAAGGACGGAAATCGTGCATGTATGATTTTATTATTAGAATATTGGAGAAGGAAATTGTTCAAGAGGAGAGAAGAAGAGTCCCTTATCAAGAACAGAGTAGTTGATGAAAGGAGAAGAAAAGAAGGCGAGATAAGAGAACATAAAAGGAAAGGAAATGGAAAGGAAAGAGGAAAACAAAAACGTTTAAAATGTCTGAAAGACGAGGAGAGGTGAAGATAAAAAAGAGAAAGAGCAAATTTAAAGATGGTAAAAGAGAAGAAGAGGAGGAAAGGATGGATAATATAGAGGGGTAAAAGGAAAAGACAGATGGGTATGGTGAGAACCAGGCAGGGAGCAAGAGGAGAAATTGAGAGAGCGAAGAGATAAAGATAATAATATAGACATTTTTAGGTCGTAGCAAATGGAATGCGCTGTGTTGTTAAGAATGTATTATTATGTTTCCTTTAATGGCTTTATGATCGCACATTATATATATATGTATATACATGTATATATGCACGTCTTATGTTATAGGTTATTAATTTAACGGTATTAATTTTTTTGCGTTATATTATAGTTTATTTTTGTAAATGTATATTTGCTATATTTAAAGGTGTTATTTCCAAACAACTACCCGTCCATCACACAATTATGACAATCTCTGAAGTCTTACCATACCCTTTCTCTCTTTCTCTCTCTCTAATTTCTCTCTCTCTCTCTCTCTCTCTCTCTCTCTCTCTCTCTCTCTCTATCTATCTCTCCCTCTCTTTCTCTACACTCCTCAAGAGTCTTTAAAATTAGAGCTATTTCGTCAATTGAACCTTCCTCAACCCGACCAGAAGAAAGTGAAGAATAGTAATGAGGGAAAAGCAGCCATGCAGAGATGGCTGAAAGAGATACAAGAGACGACGAAGAATAAAATAAATACAAGAAGAAAAAGAAGAGGAATACGACGACGACGACAACAAAGAAGAAGGAGAAGAAGAAGAAAAGAAGAAGAAGAAGAAGAAAAAGAAGAAGAAGAAGAAGAAGAAGAAGAAGAAGAAGAAGAAGAAGAAGAAGAAGAAGAAGAAAAGAAGAAGAAGAAGAAGAAAGAAAGAAGAAGAAGAAGAAGAAGAAGAAGAAGCAAAAGAAGAAGAAAAAGAAGAAGAAAAAAGAAGAAGAAGAAAAAGAAGAAGAAGAAAAAAAAAAGAAGAAGAAGGAGAAGATGAAGAAGAAGAGTAAGAAGAAGAAAAAAGGATAATACGACGAAGAAGAAAGAGGAGAAGATGAAAAAGAAGACGAAGTGGATGATGGCGAAGAAGGTGAAGAATATAATAAGATGATGACGAGGAGGATATGATGATGTTGTTGATGATAATGTTGATGGTGATGGTGATGGTGATTATATTGATGATGGTGATGAGGATGATGGATGGTGATAATGATGATGATGATGATAATGATGATGATGATGGGGATGAGGATGATGATGGTGGTGATGATGATGTTTAAAAGTGAACGAAGTCGTGTACAGGTAGCTAGGTACGTACTATCGTTACTAGAGAATGGCGTTCTAGATTGAGGTGACCGTCAAAACCGTGGTGGACACGTTCTAGATTCTGGTAGTGGACAGAGTAGACAGCATGGCACGTGCGGAGATCTTCAAAATGGCGTCGTCATTTCGCAGATCACTATAGCGACGTTACAATCGAGAAGGCTCTAATAATTTAGAACGGAATGTATTATTCAAGCAGGTCATAATCAGGCAATCCCTAATGTATTCAATGCGAAGCTTAGTTTCAAAATAGTTGTATGTAAAACAATGAATCTCATTATTTGGGTAAAACATTATTATTAGTGTTCATTTATAGAAATCTAGGTGTTCACTTGTATACAAAGTCAACATGTTTTCTCAAATAATGAATCAATGAATCTCAATATTTGGGTAAAAAATTATTATTAATGTTCGTTCATAGCAATTTAGGTGTTCACCTGTTCAAAAATTCAAAAAGTTTTCTCAAATAACTCTAGAGCTTAACCTCTTTCCATGACTTGAGCATTGTTGTTGTCTCCATATGGATAATACCAAAACCATTCATCACGACTACATTCAGTTCTCGAATCTCGAATACAAATAAAGGAAAGCATAGTAATGTCATAGATTAATAATATACAGTAATTTTATTCATTGTGTTTGAGGTCACTTCTTTTCATTAAAGGAGAGATTTGAATGATGACAACAAAATGTCAAATGAAGACATTTACCTTATTTTAACTGTTGTATGTATGTTCACCGTGGTATCTTAGGCACTCTTAATATACGGACCAAAATATTAAAGCCATAAATATTTGGTTTCTATAATTCTTTTTTTGTTGTTGACATTTCTCGTTTTGACTTCAAGATCAACTTCATGAGATTTTGATAATCATTAGAAGATCATATATGATAATCATTAGCTATGAACAAGTGACTTTGTAATTTATGAAGTAAAAATCATCGCAACCTCACAAGGCTTTCTGTGCTCACAAGTTCACGCAATCTACGACAAAACGAATTTTGAGTTAAAACATTGGTAGTTGGACACGAACACGTGACATGAAAGAAACACTTCCACATGCGCTTTCATTTCATTTTTTGTTATAGGATGTATATTATACTCTCTTCAACAACATAAAAATAAACATTTGTCGTAAAACAACAGATAATAGTATGATAGCTCTACAAAGAATTTCATATTTGATCCCCTTTATTTATGACTTCATTCTTTTAAATCGCGAACATTGAGATTGAAAACAAAAGTACAATTAGCTTGAAATAGCTCTATATTCTATTATAGCAAATTTGCTCTTCTAAGGGGGAACACATACTTCAACCAAGATTTTATCAGATTTATATACGAAATTTACCAGGCTAATTACATGGTTAAACTATCCGTTATATTCACAAATAGCAATCTTTCATATACAGCTTATTTGCATTTGAATATATACATACCATCTTAGTACTTATTCAGTGATACAAACAATGGGACCACCTGACCTATGCTATATGGATAATTGTCTAAAATTAATATCAGAGGAGTCTAACATTGACATAAAAATGAAATGTTTGTCTTCAATAACTTTCACCTGGTACTCTCGGACTCAATTTATTTTAGGATTGCATTCCTTTCAGAAGATAAGGAACAAAAATCAATATCATGCACCTTTTCTATCATTCTGACAAAAGCAATTAACTGCATTAAAGCTTTTTTTTCATTATACATGTTTCATTTCATTGTGGGTGTTTTTATTAAGAAAAAAAACTGAAAGAAAGGAATCATAATAATGTATAAAAGCTGACGCTGAAAGGTAATGTCGTATCTGCACGATTGCTTGGTTACTTCACAAGAGATCATTTTCATGAATATGAAACCACACTGTATATATCTTTAAGAGGTTATGCAAATCAATTTTAAAATATACATATACATCAACACAACATTAATTTGAGGAATTACAAACCAGCAAGAATTTAATCACATTGTTAATTATAACATTAGCTAATTTTGACAAAAAGCTTGTTTATGATAACACTGCGTCAAGGTACAATTATTCATATCAAACCGCGTCTTGAGTTTATGCATTAAATAGAAAGAGGCAGTCATCGGCCATTTGCACTGACTTGATAGTATGAACATCACCAGCTCCATGTATCCGTACATTTTTTCAAACGTGGGCCATTAGTGGGCGATGGAATTATAAATCGGGAAAAATAAATTCTGAGCAAAAATCTTGGTGAAAATATTGGAAATGAAGCCAACGGAAAGGTCAGGAATGTTTTTAGTCTTTGCTGTAAAAAGGTGTTGGTGTTGTAGAAACCTGCAAGAAATATTGTGGAGAAGAAAGAGAGAGAAGGGGGATATACAGAGGGGAGGAGGAGAGAGAGAGTTGGCAAGAATGAAGGAGAGATAGAAAGGCAAAAAGAAAGAGAAATGGGGTGGTGAATAAAAACAAATTTAACACTGTTAACAAATGTAAATTCACAGCAAACCATAGCCTGACAAATCAATTGCATGTTTTTATGAATTCTTTTATTTTCTCACCATGCTCAGATGGTCATGAAATAGCATTTTCAGTCAATACAACGCAACATAATTATTCTAAACTCGACATTTAGCTTGAGAAAGTCCACAGGAGTGGACGAAAGCTTGCATAACAAATTTAAGGTTGGTAGAAGCTTAAAACTACATGTTATCATTATCCCCAACTGATGAAAGTTTTCTGTATTAAAAGAGCACAATATTTATTCGTGATCATTTCAGGAGTCTTCTATTGTGTCTCGAAAGAGCAATGGCGATAAATGATAACAACCGGATTATTCTCAGTGGTATCTTTATCTACTTTTAATCATGATATCAAATATATTTAAATACTCAGTGCAGAGTTTGTTGACCCATGACAAATTAACCGGGACGAAGTGCAATTCTAAGATATATGGCTTACAAAAAGAGAATGTAATGAGTTCACTTGGGATGGAGATAGTCTTCTTAAAATGAACAGATCCGTCTAATGTCTTACAGAATTCGGCCACATTGGTTTCAATGGAAAGTGGTAGTATGAGTGGTATTACTCATAATACCGGAATATATGCGGCAGTATTAAACAGTCTTGTCCAACTTTGTGATAGTGTGGAGATACAGATGTGGGGAAGCGACAGAGAAGGGCGCCCTCTCGGCCATCTTTGATGATCCCACAAACAACTTACCTGCTTTTATTGGGAATCGAGCTGCTGGTCTGATCGTTTGCCGCTGTTCAGAAGATTCCTCAGTCTGTTGACATTCTTCATCATTCTCCAGTTGTCAACATTAGCAAGGCCAAGATGTTTTACAGATCCTCTTTTTGACATGGCTGTAGACAATGGAGAGAAAACAAAATATCTCTACGTTTTAATTCCATACATCGGCAATGATGTTCCGCCGTTCTTAGGACACGGGACAAGACAAGTTGTAAGTCAAAACGTGTCTCAATTGGCTTCCATTTCAGAGTACAAAACAATTCTTTTGATGGAGTCTCATATATTTGGTTTAAAATAGTTCACGCAGCTCGCTTTTGGACTTTCTGGAGTTTTATTTGTGTTTTCCTGGTTTCGATTTGACCAGACATAGGAACTGATTAGATTCATTCAATTAGACTAAAGATAACTAACTAAAAACAAAAATTGAAAAATAAAAATGGGGGGGGGGGGCGAATTGATCCCATAAACACGATTTTGTCATTATTGGGCGTACAAAAATGGTTATCGGTATCTATTCATTTCTTCTTCTAAATACTGTAATTTTTTCTTAGGAACTTACGACGGAAAATAAACGAAAGAAAGGAAAGAAAATGTCATCTTCTGATACTCCAAGGATTTCTTTATCGTTGCTATAACATTGACTGTTAAAAATTGATCATCCAGTTCGGTTTGAACCGGTGTGATATCTAAGACATGAAAACTTGATTAGCCTGAGAGTGTTTATCTGAATGTTGTGCTTTGGTATTCCTGCTCGGAGAGCGTGTTATTGGATGACTTGAAGCCGTGGCTGAAAGGGTGGTGTACCATTCATTAAATATGTATCAATGCGAGACATGTCTGTCAAAACTACACATCCAGCGCGGTATTATTTTATAATCATTCAATCTCCTTTGATTCTGTTGGCGTTTTCTTGCGAATGGCGTCAAGGATGATTTGAATGAATGGCATGGCATGAAGCTATTCGAAAGGTTAATATAGAAAGTTAAGGGACGTTCTTTCGGTCAGCTTCTTTTCCGGTGCTGAACAGAGCCCGAAGGTCACCTTCTCTCGGTGTAAAGACGAAAATAAACAGCCACTTGAGAGAGAGAGAGATGGTGCCTTCAGGTCACGTGACTTTTAAAGCATTGACATTGGCGCCATGAATGCATTTCTAAGCCCATGGCAATTACGTCTGTTTTTCTTTATATCACGCTAACTGTAATTAAGACCCGTGCATGATAGTTCTCATCATCTATGTCCAATAAAGTACAGGATATGAACAAACGTCTACTCATTTGTCATATTATTTTGTCCAAGGAGTGGGTGTGTAGATTGTGAATGAAACGACGGTAAGACAAAAAGGAAGAAGAAAGAAACTTTATTGGGGAAGGGAAATAATAAGAAACCAAAAACCTATAAAACGATGAATCTTACAAGATACTAAGAATCGCAAACAATGTGGAAAAGGAATTTATGGATAAGACGGGGAGAGACAGAAAATATCGATGTTTGTTAGTTAGATCACACAGGCGGGGAGTCGTACTGGTATCGTATTTTCGAAAGTTGATGACGCATGGCAGTACACATGATTGGCCAGGACTTCCCGGGAGACTGGAACTGGTCACCAGCTTCTTCACTGTGACGCAACTAAAGGAATCACAAATCTATTATTTCCAATCATTATATATTTTCAACCATACACAAGAATGAACTACGCAAGATGCAGTAACCACCGACGAATAACATCTTCTGATGTTTTGTCCTTTTTATATTTATGCGGTTGTTTGGTTGTGCTTATTTTACGGATGTTAGTGTCCAAGAAAAAACTTGCCTAAAACTTTTCATTTTCCGTAAAACAAATTTGACGGTGCAGCTAGATAAGGTGCAAAAAGATATTTTGAACCGTGAAAAGAAAAGAAAGTTTGTGAGGCATATTTTCTTTTTAATTCGTGCCATTAGTCTAATAGGATGTAGCCTTTGAGCTGGAGGGTATCCAACAAGTTGATACCTCAGAGTAAACAGATGGAAAACACTTACTGATGGAGAATATCAGACAGTAAAACATGGATTGCTGTTTTGGTACAGGTGTATTGAATAATTCCATTTGATTTTTTAAAGGATATGGTCTACTGACCGAAATCTTGTTCATGATATGTTAATTATAGGCTCATTTTACCAAGGAAAATGATCCAATTTAATTCTTTGATTAAACACTATTAAGATCTCTGTCTGGATAATGCATGTACATATCAATCGCAGATGGTGATTATTATATTTCTACAAACCATTGAGACAGTGGCGTAGACAGGTTCGTACACCTGGGGGGATGACTCAGGGGCGGATCTAGCTTTTTGCTAAGGGGGGGTTGACCAAAATAATGACGATGCGGAGCATCGTCCACGAGCCGCAAAGCGGCGAGCCGATTTTTTTGGGGGTGTTTATTTGAACCCCGTAAGTGATGTTTTCCTGGCATCTATTAACACAATGGAGACCATAAATGGAGCAGTGCATGATAACGTCTTTTTAAATCAAGTAACAGTTAAATACACAGTTATATCCAGAGTTATCATGTGTTTGGTTAAGTTACCAGATGAGTTGAATATCTTCTCACAATATTTGCACTTGAAAGGGTTTCTCTCCAGCGTGCGTTCTTTTTTCTTTCTTTTTTTCCCTTTTTTTTCTTCTTTTTTTCCCCTTTTTTTTGTTTGTTTTTTGGGCCGCCCAAGGGGGGTTTAAACCCCTAACCCCCCCCCCCCCCCGTAGATCCGCGCCTGTTTAATCTTGTGGTTATCTTGTGGTTTCCAAACCACAAGATAACCACAAAATACTTGTAAGATTTTCTTTTTTTTACCGTCTGAATTGGCTTTCACCGTGTGAATGCGGCTAATAACAATTAACACAATAATGATGAGGATTATTATTATCATCATCATAATTATTATTATTATTAATATTATAATTGTTATCATTATTATTATTACTATTATTATCATCATTATGACTTATTAAGTAAGCAAATATCATTCCCCAAAACCTGGGGGGGATGATTGTACATGCCATCCCCCCCCCACCTTGTGAGGTGGGGGGGATGCATCCCCCTCATCCCCCCGTTGTCTACGCCCCTGCATTGAGACATGTTATATCTCTATTGACTACATTTAAATCATAACGTATATAGGTCCCGATGAACAACGTAGATAAAATGCGATTTTTGTTTTACATTGACAGGTTCTTTTTAACTATAATTAGGGAAAAGCATTCCCAGTCAATAAAGCTAATGGTCACAAATTTACAATTATTTATCATACCCAGTTGTTAAGAGTGCAACGCATGATAATTATACGAGTATGCTTTTACCTAATACTCTATATTAATGTATCATATATTTCAAATAAATCATTGGTTTGTTAGTACATGTCACAACATATTGTTTTGGCCAATGTATCATTTATAAAAAATAATAAGATAGAGAAACTAAACACAGCTTTAAATCATGGACCTAATACTTCAAATAATTGAAACCTTTTTGATCTAGATAGACTGTTCGCGAAATAAAATAATATATACCAAATTATTTCCCGTTTTCTTTTTTTCATCCATCGCCAGCAATCGCCGGCCATCCTCAGTCATCTGTTTCTCCTTCTGAGTTGTTTTATCGCGTTCTTTTGTATCATTCATCTATCAAGCATTCCAACAGTCATCTATTTTCATTGACATCTATGTCACCCGTCAAATTTCAAACTTATTTCCATGGTTGATTACTTCTCCTTCCGGGAGCTGATGTTGAATTGTGAATTACCCTACCCAACCGACCCGTAGGGGTTGTATTTTGTATTAATCCAAACACAAGAACAGGCATCAATCTTCTACAATACTCCTGGTATTTACTTTACTCAATACCGCACTCCTCTCTTCCTATATCTACATTTGATATTGCTTTGAATATATATGGATAACTCGAACGGGCTTTGCCCTGAGCGTTCAGGCGCAATTCCCAGGTATCCATTTATTCACCTGCAAAAATGCATTATTTCTCTTCCCTTTCCTTGGAATTTTTGTCATCTGTTCTCACATGAGGCCGATAAATTTAGTTGAAGTCTTATCTATTCATACACGCCCAACATTATTCAGGCCAAACGTCAGAAGTTCAAATTTATTCATTTTCTTTTCCAAAAACTCTTCCATTTTAATGCCGTAAACGTTTCCCCGGGTCGCATCTGTTTTCTACGTCTATACCTATCGATCATTATCGCACCATACCTGTCTGTCTCCTTTATTGTTTCATCCCTCATCTTTCGTATCTACCATCACTCTCTCTTTCACCTTCCTTCTATCAATCAATATTTTGAATTTCCTCTCTACCCTCTCCTCATCCAGGCAATCACTACTTTCTTTACCCCTTTTTGCTGGATCATGTCAATCTCACCACGAAGATATCATTCTATTATCCGTTCATTGAGTTTACTTCGTACTTAACTTCGTTGTATTCCTAATATCCTATATTCACCTTTTTACATCAATCAACACGCAGTGTTAAATTCTTAATTTATTGCTGTTATTTTCCATCAATCGTTTGAAAAATTCCCTTCCACTTTGCATTATTGTTCGTGCAGTACACTTTGGAAGTGATGGCTACAACTTGATATATTTAAAACACAGCACAATTACAAGTATCTATATTCTTCTATATACAGCGACGCCGTCTAAAGTAGTCTTAAATGTAGAATAAGAATCAAGGTGCACTATTGAGGTGTAGCGAAATATAAATATAATCTTTACCCCTATATCTTTTTAACTTCTTCTCAATTCCGTTAAATCGGCAGTATGTAGTAGGTATTACACTTGCGTACGTTAGTACATTTGCACATCCTTTGAATAATATAAACATTCGAACTTAGGAAGAATAGATGGTTTCGTATCATTTTAATAATATAAACAAAATTGGGATGATATAATTATGAACTAATCATCAAGACCATTCCTTTGTTTGATGCACTGAACAACTCTAAAGGAAAACGATCAGAAGTTTCCGGCTGCATAAGAACGTTTCCAAAGTATGACAGAAGTATCTTATATATTCCAAGCTTCTACATTTAAAATTATGATGAGATATTAATGGAAGTTGAATATATGG